AAGAATTTGAGCGAGGTGGAAGGATCTATTATCGCACAGGTGATCAATGAAGAAAGTGCAAACTTTGCTGAAAGATACTTTCCAGGAGAAGTGCATACTAAAAATCGCCGACCTAGTCGGCATGATGATCGAGGGGAAAGGGCAACGTATTATGTTAGTGTTCCAACCATCTTCAAGGATATTGGGCGACTTAGTGGAAAATCTACAAAGCGGAGACTAACTGACACGGAGCACGCTCATTTGAACACATATTTGCTCACCAACTGTGAAGATGATCTACAATATGAGAGGTGTATATTTAATTTCATTTAAATTGTCAAAATATTGAATAACTTTTATTTTCAGATTATTAATATCATTTTGGTATATATAATATTTATATGACAAAGCTGCGCTTGACTTACAAACATGCCACAGAAGAGGAGCTTCAACACCTCAGACATATTGGATTTGCTGGATGGTTACTTAATTATGTGCGTGAGTACATGTGCAAATAAGTATTTATAAATTTAATGGATTAACTTATCACTTACATGTTCTGATTATATTATAGGTGACTCAAGGTTTGGCCAGAGGTGAAATGATTGGTTGCGCGAAATTGTGCAGGGACCTAACTAAATGGCCAGATCTATCCAAGATATTGTACTCGGGGATATGCGTTCACAAGGAAAGGCCATTCGAAGACAACTTTTGATGCTGGTGTTTCGTCTTCATTTGTTGACGATGTGTACTATGGCAACATAAAAGAAATTTTGAAAATCCAGTATCCCGGGATGGTTGTATTGCGGTGTACTGTATTATATTGTGATTAGTATGACAAAACCCCAGATCGAGGAGTGAAGACTGACGCATTTGGTGTTACATCGGTTCATTCTCAAAGGAAACTTCAATATTATGATCCATCCATTTTTGCTTCGCAAGCTGATCAGGTATGTCTGTTACTTTTAATACAAAAAGTTTATCATTTATCACATTATTAATTTAATAATTTTTTTATAGGTTTGCTATATTAGTTATCCTCGGATTACGTACAGAGACGATCCATGGATCACTGTGACGTCAATCAACCCAAGAGGCAGAGTACATGGAAGTTCTGATAATGACCCATTACAACCAAACACTACCAGTAACGTTCTGAAGCTCGCTGGAGATTTTATGGACTTTGGAGATGATGCTATTGTACACTCGGAACCAGAGGCAGAAGTTGGCGAGTTTGACCAAGATTCTGAAGATTCATCCGATGATACTACTGATTCTGAAGGTTTTGATTAGGAACAACTTATTATACTTATTTATATTTTTAGTTATACTTTTCAAGAATTATTTTTAGTTATATTTTTTTTTAAACAATGTCCGTCAGAAATCCACGGATTTCTGAGAATATAGAGTTTCATTCAGGGTTTCTAGTTTTCTCGAAAATCCATCGGAATATTCCGACGAATTTCCGACGAACTTAGGTATTCTGTCGAAATTTCGTTGGAATATTCCGACGATATTCTGACGAAATAAATTTTAAAATGTCAAAATAAACATAAATATAAAATTGGATATCAAAACTATGTATATGTATGTATATTATTGTTGAGTATAATATTTGATCGCAACCATTCAAGTTTTATAACTTATTAAAATATATATATGTATGTATATTGTTGTTTTCATAACATATCATCTTAATACTCATATAGTTACACAATCATATGAATCCAATCTTACAATACTAAAACGATTTTGTGTAAAATTGTGTTATAAAAACTTTTTTATAGTTAAACCTTATTCAAATACTATATTTATTAACAAATACATGGATTTTTAAAAAAAAAAAATTTAACGTTTTTATAATCGTTTTTATTGTTTTTTTATAATTGTTAAAAATGTTTGTAATTTTTTTTAAATATTTTATATACTTAAGAGCTTTTTATATATTATTTAACATTAAAAAGAACATTTTCTACATTTATTTTTATTTTATATATTTATAAATGTCTATTTTTTAATATTTAACAACTTTTTCTAGATAAAGTTGTAATTATATAAAAAAATTAGATTTTTAGAATTTTTATACATATATTATGATCATTTTAGATTTTTTTATATTTTATATACTTAAGAACTTTTTCTCTATTATTTAACATTTAAAAAAAAAACTTTTTCGACATTTCTTTTTATTTTATATATTTATAAATGTCTATTTTTTTAATATTTAACAACTTTTTCTAGATAAAGTTGTAATTATATAAAAAATTTAGAATTTGAGAATTTTTATACATATATTCTGACCATTTTAGATTTTTTATATTTTATATACTGAAGAACTTTTTCAATATTATTTAACATTTAAAAAAAAAAATTTACATTTATTTTTATTTTATATATTTATAAATGTCTATGTTTTAATATTTAACAACTTTTTCTAGATAAGGTTGTAACTATATAAAAAATTAGAATTTTACAATTTTTATACATATATTATGATCATTTTAGATTTTTTTTAATTTATATATATATATATATACAATTTCAATATATTTTCCTGATACACTGAAATTTCTTATGTAGGTCTGACGATTCTGCACCTCTTCGTCCCGCACCTCGTCGTTCCGCACCTCATCGTCGTTCCGCACCCCGTGGCTGAGCTAGTTTGGTGAGCAATTCCCGTGCATCGGGATCATCTCATGAACAAAACTCGTCTCCAGTTCCTGAGACCCTCCTCCTACCTCTCCGCTGCCTCTCCCGCTGCAGCTGCTCCACACGAGCCGGGGGTCATGACAGTTGAACAACTGGTTCAACAACCAGGCCGAGAGCATCTCCCGGTTCTACATCCCAACCCAAGACGGGACATACAACTTGGTTAGTATTTTTCTTTTATTTACATTTCTTTTTCCATTTAACTTTCTAACAATAATTTTTTTTTAAGGTTCACCAAGTCGAGCAATGGCATTAGCCAGAGCATCAACCAGATGATGTATTCCATGCTCCGTGAGGGATATCCGAAAGTGGAGTGTGATCCCTCAAGAAGAACGTGAGTTGTGGTTTCGCCAATTCGTGGTAACTCTTCAGTTATTGTTTTAAGCGTATTTCTATCTTGATTTTTAATATATATTTACTAATTAAGTTATGTTTGTTTTGTAGCAAGAATTCACTAGGGGGTCTGGCCGCACGGAAACAATCCGTCAGAAATTCAACCAAAAGGCGATATCTTCTTATACGAAGCAGATATACGAGTGGAAGCAACTATGGCTGAAGAACAAGAGGCCACAGAATATTAACAGGAGAGTGTGGGATGAGTTGATGGTCCACTAGCAGAAGGACAAGACTATAGAGAGGTCTCTACAGAACTCAGCTAACAAGAACAATGACCGTGGTGGCAAAGGCGCTTATGTGTACAACCTCGGTGCTTGCTCTATGTCTTCTAAAGAGGACCAGCTTGTAAGTTTTGTTTTTTTTTTTCCTTTATATTTTATTTATATTTATATTTTTTTAAATAAACAATTTTATATATTTCTTGGCTAATATTTTTAGGTCGAAGCAAACGGCGGTAATCCCGTTGATCATCATGTAGTCATCGAGGCATACACTAACAAGGAGACGGGTGAAATTCAGGACCCCGTCATCAGAGAGGTCATTAAGATGGTGGAATCTAAAAAGGAATTTTTCCTAGCTTCTCAGCCTCTCACTAATGACGACTCTACGGGAGCTTCAACCAACTTGTCCCGATTGCAAATAAACGAGATGGTCGAAAAGGTAATTTTTTCATTACTATATTGGTTTTATAATATTTTTCATTACTAACTTTAAATATTTTTTAGGCGGTTCCTAAAAGGAAAGGCCGTTTGGTTGGGTTGGCCCGTCGGGTTAATTCATGTCCGGCTTTTTCTTCTTCTTCACAATTCCCGTTTGCTGATCCCATGATTCTGGAGGAGCTAAAGGAAAAAGATCAGCGAATTGGGGTTTTGGAGGAGTAGAACGCCACAATCCTATTTCAGCTGGCGGATCAAAAGCAAACCAACCTCGGCATAATGGCGAGGCTAGATCGTTTATTTCCTTCGGGTTCTTAGTTTTTTTTTTAACTTTCTGAATGTTTTTTTTTCAATATCAGTTTGTGTAAACTTAATTTCTATAATATTATTAGTTTTTAATTTCAAATTAAATTTATTTACTAATTTAAAAAAAAAATAGAAAAAATGCATAATTAATATATATAAAAAAATTAATTTTAAATAGAATAAATGTTCGACGAACAGTGTCGTCGGAATAAACCGACGGATTGTTTCTCGGAAACGACCAACTAATTTCTGATGATAATTTCCGTCAAAGTGTCGTCGATAGTTCGTTGGAATTCCTGTCTCTCGGAATTCGTCGGAATTTTTGACGGATTTCCGACGAATTTTTTTTTCCCGAAAAAATGATACCGACAACCTGTTTCGTCATGGTTTCATTGGAATATGCTTATTCCGACGGATTTCTTATGGTTTTGGCCATCGATATCCGTCTGTTTTCTTGTAATGTATGGCTGTGAACAAAAAAATCGCTACAAATGTAATTACACTTGCCCACAACACAAGAACCGTACGTCCTCTATTAGAATATTAGACCAGCCACATCGGTGGGAGTCTAAAAAAAGAACCCTTAGCTAATAATATTATTATTTTAATTAACTTTTTTTAATTAATTAAATTTAAAATAAAAATTAATATATGAACTACTTATAAGTGAACAGGTGGAAAAAAAAAGTTTAGTACCCTTCCCAAGAGTAATTCCTATTTTCTTTTAATTTTTGATTTTTATTTAATTGCTAGTACTCCATAGAGAACCCTCCAATGGAGTTACTCTTATAAATCACACTTGTCTTAAACCATGAATTGGTTTTCCTTCACAAAAGCCATGAATTTCTAATATAAAGGCTTACATTATCATAAAAACTGTTTCCATAATAAGCCTTATTTCATATCTTTGATGGTATCTTTCTCTCACGGACTATCATCCGTTTCTGATTGGGGCTACGTTTGCGATTCAAAATGGTGAGCCTCTTCATGCAACTGTCGTAGCTGTTGCAATGTTCTGCTGATAACAGCCAAATGTTCTGCTGTTAAATGAGCGTCATTATTAGCCATAACAGGCATCATCATAGAATTGTGCTGGTTCTGCTGATACGTTACCGGAGGAAGTGTCTCTAGTCTCGGGTCCTCGATGTTTTTAAGCTGGCACTGGAGGTTGTAAACAAGAGTACTTCAGCCATAGACCGGATCAAGGAGACCAGCTTGTGCCTCGAAAAGAAGCGAGATCATGGCATTTTCTCTCTGGCTTGAATGAAGTACGTTGAGAAGTTTAGCAATTTTGCTTGCTCCGAATATCTTGTGGACTGTTGCGTACTTGTCAAGTTTGTTCGCGGGGAGGTAAGGCGCAAACACGCAGTCTTTAGTGCATTTTCTTCGTGGTGTTGACATATTCTCCGTGTGAGATTGATATATAAAAACACGTCTGTGAAAGAAGAATTGATGAAAACTAAACTTGTTTATTATTGTGCGTAAGACAAGATAATAATCAAGTAAAAAGGGGTTCGTATAAATAACTATATATCTTGAGGGAACTTTTTATGTTCTTGGCAATTTGGTTAGGAAGTAACAATAGGTGGTTTGACCAACAAAAGAAAATCAAATTATGTAGTGTTTTCAATAAACAAACAAAAAACTGAGGACAAAGAAGATTAAAGCATTCTTGTTTGTTTTCTCAAGTTTTTAAATCAACTAAAATATGGTTGTAACTTCGAAGAAGTAAAATCAGATATTAGCCCTTACCGAAGAAACCCTTTCGAGATCTCTCTTGATTGGTTTCTTGCTTTGAAGTTTGCTTTGAGAGATAAGCCAAAAATAGATCAACTGTAATCTCCTTTCAACTTAGGTCAAAAAATTTCGCAAGGAGTTCTTATACCACAAAATAACAAAATAATCAAAGTCTAGTCACAATATACACTTAGAATAAAAACATGAACTTAATTTGATATGTATATAACAAACGATACGATAATCATTGCATGTCGGGTTATTCGTAGCTAGCTAAGTGTGGCAATTGAACTCTACCTTCGGGCCCTGGCGTTAGGGGTTTGACCCCTCCTTACCTCAGTTTGAGGATTTCGGTCCAAAATGACCAAATTGATAAAAAAAAAAAAAAGATAATCAATGCATAAAATAAAAGGTATTGTCGGTATATTCTTTTCTAAGTACATAAACGTAGAAGATAATTACTTGATGTACGTCAGTATAGTTAGCATAGTTACGAAAATAGAAAACTGAATTTGAATCATATACAATAGAACTTCTATAAATTAATACTCGATAAATTAATAATTCTTATAAATTAATAAATTTTGTCGTTCTCAACTTGAGCCGATTCAAAACTTGACAAAAATTGATAAAATAATAAGATAATATTTTTTTAAGAAAACTTCATGTAATGATAAATTAATAATTTCTATAAATCAATAAATTTTGTCGGTCTCAACTTGGACCGGTTCAAAACTTGACACAAATCGATAAAATAATAAGATAATATATTTTTAGAAAACTCTATGTAAATATATGGTCCCATCAAAATTACAAATTAATATTTATATGTATACATATTTTATATAAGTAAGAACAAATCATTATATTGTTTGTTTTATATTCACAATGGAATTCTCTTTATATTTTCTTAACACTTATTATATTTTTGATAAGATTTAGTAATATTATGTCTAAACCACACATTAACCCTAAACTCTAAACCTTAATTCTAAACTCTAAACCTTAATTCTAAACCCTAAACATGAACTCTAAACTAAAAATCATCAACACAGAACCCTAAACCCTAAAAATAAACAAAACCCTTAACCATACAAAACTACCCTAAACCCTAAAACCTCAACTCTAAACGTTACTATCAACACTAAATTTTAAAAAATAAAAGTAAAATATAAATCCTAAACCACAGTTCTAAACCCTTAACCATCAACACTAAAATCCTAAACCCTAAAAAATAAACTCTAAATCCTAAAAAATTAACCCTAAACTCTAATCCTCAATTCTAAACCCTAAAACATCAACACTGAACCTTAAACCCTACAAATAAAATCTAAATATTTAACACTAGAAAATTTACCCCAAACCTCAATTCTAAACCCTAAACCCTAAAACCTAACCTCTAAACCTTACTATCAAAACTAAACCCTAATGAATAAAAGTAAACTCAAAACCCTAAAACCTAAACTCTAAACCACAATTCTAAACCCTAAATCCTAAAAAATTACCTTAGATCCTAAAGCTTAAACCTTAAACCTTTAACCCTAAACTCTAACTTAAACCCTAAAAATAAACTCAAAACTCTTAACCCTATAAAATTTCCCTAAACCCTAAAACCTCAACTCTAAATGTTACTATCAACACTAAACTTTAAACAATAAAAGTAAAATATAAATCCTAAACCACAGTTCTAAACCCTTAACCATCAACACTAAAATCCTAAACCCTAAAAAATAAACTCTAAACTCTAAATCCTAAAAAATTAACCCTAAACTCTAAACCTCAGTTCTAAACCCTAAAACATCAACACTGAACCTTAAACCCTACAAATAAAATCTAAATATTTAACACAAGAAAATTTACCCAAAACCTCAATTCTAAACCCTAAACCCTAAAACCTAACCTCTAAACCTTACTATCAAAACTAAACCCTAAAGAATAAAAGTAAACTCAAAACCCTAAAACCTAAACACTAAACCACAATTCTAAACCCTAAATCCTAAAAAATTACCTTATATCCTAAAGCTTAAACCTTAAACCTTTAACCCTAAACTCTAACTTAAACCCTAAACCCTATACCTTAAAAAATCAACTTTAAACCCAAACCCCTAAAACATGAACTTTAAGCCCTAGACCCTAAAACATCAACTCTAAACCCTAAACTCTAAACCTTAAACCTTAAAGTATATCCTTCAGATTAATATATTATTTGGAAACCCATCCTCAACACGCTCATGGCTTTCCAAATTTTATAATATATTATCTTCAATTCAGAAATCCATCATGAACACGCTCATGGCTTTCCAAATTTTATAATACATTATCTTCAATCCGAAAACTCATCCTAAACACACTCAAGGCTTTCCAAATTTTAGAATACATTATCCTGAAGATTAATATACTAAACTCTAAACCCTAAAACATCAACTCTAAACCCTAAAAAAATTCCTTAAATCCTAAAACCTAAACCTTCAACCCTAAACTCTAGACCTAAACCCCAAACCCTAAAAAAATAAACCATAAACCCAAACCCCTAAAACATGAAATTTAAGCCATAAACCCTAAAACGTCAACTCTAAACCCTAAACTCTAAACCTTACACCTTAAAGTCTATCCTGAAGATTAATATATTATCTGGAAGCTCATTCTGAACACGCTTATGGCTTTCCAAATTTTATAATACATTATCTTCAATCCGAAAACTCATCCTGGACACGCTCAATTCTAAATTTTAGAATACATTATCATGTATTAATATACTAAACTCTAAACCCTTAAACCCTAAAACGTCAACTCTAAACCCTAAACTATAAACCTTAAACCTTAAATCATATCCTAAAGATTATGATATTATCAGGAAGCTCATCCTGAACACGCTCAAGGCTTTCCAAGATTTATAATACATTATCTTGAAGATTAATATATTATCTGTAAGCTCATCCTGAACACGCTCAAGGCTTTCCAAATTTTATAATACATTATCCTCAAAATTAATATATTATCAGAAAGTATATCCTGAACACACTCAAGGCTTTCCAAATTTTATAATACATTATCCTAAAGATTAATATATTATCAAGAAGCCCATCCTGAACACGCTCAAGGCTTTCCAGATTTATAATACATTATCTTGAAGGTTAATATATTATCCGGAAGCTCATCCTGAACACGCTCAAGGCTTTCCAAATTTATAATACATTATCCTCAAATTTAATATATTATCAGGAAGTCCATCCTGAACACGCTCAAGTCTTTCCAAATTTTATAATACATTATCCTGAATACTAATATATTATTTGGAAGTCCATCATGAACACGCTCAAGGCTTTCCAAATTTTATAATACATTATCCTGAAGATTAAGATATTATCTGGAATCACATCCTGAACACGCTCAAGGCTTTCCAAATTTTATAATACATTACCGTGAAGCCTATCATGAACATCAATATATCATCCGGATTTTAATATATTAAGGGTTTTGGGGTTTAAGATTTGAATTTTGGAAAAATATAGGGTTTAGCGATTAAGTGTTGAAGTTGAGGGTTTAGGGTTTAAATTTTATGTTCCAGGATGGTTTATAGTTGAAGTTTCATGGTTTAGAATTTAGAGTTGAATTTTCAAGGTTTAGGGTTCTAGAATTGATGTTTCAGGGTTTAGAGTTAAAGTTTCAGGGTTTAGGGTTTAAAGTTGAAGTTTGAAGATTTAGGGTTCTAGATTTAATGTTTCAGGGTTTAGAGTTCTAGAATTGATGTTTCAGGGGTTAGAGTGGAAGTTTTAACGTTTAAGGTTCAGAGTTGAAGTTTCAGGGTGTAGGGTTTTACAGTTGATGTTTCAGTGGTTAATGTTTAGAGTTGAAATTTCAGGGTCAGGGTTTAGAGTTGAAGTTTCAGGGTTTAGAATTGATTTTCATAGTTTAGGGTTTAATGTTGAAGTTTTAAAATTTAGGGTTCTAGAACTGATGTTTCAGGGTTTAGAGATGAAGTTTTATGGCTTAGGGTTTTAGAGTTGGATTTTCAGGGATTAGGGTGTAGAGTTGAAGTTTCAGGGTTTAGAGTTGAAGTTTCAGGGTTTAAGGTTTTAGAGTTGGATTTTCAGGGTTTAGGGTTTTAGAGTTGAAGTTTCAGGGTTTAGGGTTTTAGAGTTGAATTTTCAGGGCTTAAAGTTTTAGAGTTGATGTTTTAGGGTTTAGAGTTTAAGTTTCAGGGTTTAGGGTTTCTGAGTTGATGTTTCAGGATTTAGGGTTTAAATTTGAAGTTTCGGGGTTTAAAGTTTTAGAGTTGATGTTTCAGGGTTTAGAGTTGAAGTTTCAGGTTTTAGAGTTTTAGAGTTGATGTTTCAGGGTTTAGGGTTTAGAGTTGAAGTTTTAGGGTTTAGGGTTTTAGAGTTGATATTTCAGGGTTTAGGGACTAGAGTTGAATTTTCAGGGTTAGGATTTTTTAGAGTTGATGTTTCAGGGGTTTAGAGGTAAAACATCAGGGTTTAGAGTTTTAAAGTTGATGTTTCAGGATTTAGGGTTTAGATTTGATGTTTTAGGGTTTAAGGTTTTAGAGTTGATGTTTCAGGGTTTAGTGTAGAAGTTTCAGGTTTAAGGGTTTTACAGTTGATGTTTCAGAGCTTAGGGTTTAGAGCTGAAGTTTTAGGGTTTAAGGTTTTAGAGTTGATATT